AGACTTGTAGAGTTGGAAAGGACACCAAGGGTCATCTAGTCCAAGCCCCTCCGATTGCAACTACAGTAACCCCCAAATTCCCCCCCCCCATTTTGAAATGATCATGCCTTCCACCCACAAAAGAAGCTATAGACAAGTAACAATGATCCCTCAGGCATTTACATTTAAACACCTGCTAGCACAGCCCCTACACCACCTTGTAAGCCTCAGCCTCCTTCCTTGGTCGGAGCGGGGTGCCAGAAAAAGAGCCAAATCCTGTCAGAACACGGCCATGACGAAACAGTTGCTTTCCCTGTTTAGGGAAGCTTTTAATGTTTAATAGGTTATTGTATTTTAGTATTTTGTTGGAAGCCGCCCAGAGTGGCTGGGGAAACCCAGCCAGATGGGTGGGGTATAAATAAATTATTATTATTATTATTATTATTATTATTATTATTATTATTATTATTATTATTATTCCCTCGCAATCCTCCACACCACCCTCGTCCCGCACATGGCAGAGTCTATGGGGAACCCGGAAGTGAGGGTTGCGCGGCCGAGCAGCTCTTGGGGCGAGTGCGCGCGCGGGGTCAGGGAACCGGAAGTTCCGGCGGTTCCGCTTCCTCCAACGTCCCGGAACCTGCCTTGTTGTGACTGCCGGCCTCAGAGTTTTGCCGGTCTCCTCCTCAGACGCTGCCGCCGCCGCCGCCGTTGCCGCGCTCGGGCGGGCGGAGGCGAGCGATGAAGCCCAGGCAGCGCAGCTGAAGCCGCCGAGGGAGGAAGGTCTTGCTGGGGGCGGCGGCGGCGGCGGCGCCTCCTATATGGGCCACTTTCTCTCGCGGAAGGGAACCAGCCAGACCGCGGATAGGAGCCGCCGCCGCCGCCGACCCCTGAGGGGGAAAGTGCCAGTGCCGCCGCCGCCGCCGCCTCGGGACCGGAGCTGCTTCCTGCGCGGGCCCTGCATGCTCTGCTTCCTGGTGCACAGCGCCAGCCCGCCCGCCGCCGCCTCTGAGGAACCGCCGCCGCCGCCGCCTGCTGCTCCTCCGCTTCTCTACGCGGCTCTGAAGGCGCCCGAGGACCGCGCCGCCCGCCGCCTGCTGCGCTTCTCCTGCCGCCGCCTGCTGCTCTCTGGCCTCCTCTTCTCCTCTCCTCCGCCTTCCGCGCGGAGAGCGGGGCCTGCGCTGGAGAGCAGCGAGGCCCCCCCGGAGATGGTGTGCAAGCGCAAGGGCGTCCGGCTGCTCCCCTGCCCGCCCCGAAAGCAGCCCCGCTGCGCCGCCGCCGCCGCCGCCATCCCAGCCACAGGGGCCGGGAGCCCCGCTTCCACGCCGCCGCCGCCGCCCGAGGTTTCTGCCGCCGCCGCCGCCGCTGCTTCTCCTTCGCTGCCCGAGCAGCACCTCTGCCCGCTGCCCTGCGCCTCGGACCGCGCCCGGGGAGGCTCGCCGCCGAAAGACCCCACCGTCGGCGAGAACGGGGACGATGGGGAAGGGCTGGCGGAGGCGGCGGCGGCGGCGCCCGCGGGCTCCCCGTCTCAGCTGCCCGAGCTGGACGGGAGGGAGAAGGGCGAGGCCCGCGAGCCGAACTGCGAGGAGCCCCCCGAGAACCCCGGGGACTGCTGCCGGGAGCCACAGCCCCCCTCGCCCGACATCAACCAGCTGCCGCCCTCCATCCTCCTCAAGGTGGGTTTGGGGAGCTGGCAGGTGTCCGGGATGTAGAAGGTTGCCAAGGTAGGCTGGGGGCTGCCTGGACACCTGTCGCTGCATCCCTTGCATCCCCCTCCTCCTGAGTTTCTTGGTTGTGTGTTTTTCCATGTAGAGCTCAAGAGTGTCCATTTCTTAAGTCCTGGTCTCCTGGCGTTTACTCTGCAAAGGTGCCCAGGACAACGTTATAGGGGTGGCGATACGAGAAGGCCATACCCAATTATAATTTTCCTTCTCTCGTTTTCAGTTTTGGCTGGCAATGGATGGGGATCCTGGAAATTGGTTGCATGCACAAGCGTTTCTGCTAAGTTCATAAGTTTTTACTTAAAACACTAGACGCTAATCCAGCTGAAGGTGAAATAGTAATGGTTCTTGATTGAAACAGAGTCCTTTTCTTGACAGAGCTTGGTCTTGGTCACATCATTTAATTCAGAATAGTCACTTCCCCAAGTTATTTGCACATAATGATATAATTAGAATTGGTTCACATGGAAACAGTGCTTAATAGCATTGTTGATAGCTTAATAGCACAAAGAGGCACATTTTGTAGTAATCCTGCCTTTATGAAACAAAACAAAGCAGTATTATGGGAACACCTGAGTAGTTAAGGTTCAACGACTGGTGTGAGTACTAGATGAGCCTGCTACACTGGACTGGAGCTGGTGGAATGAGGAAGTCTGAAAAGTTGAGAAAGGGTGATTTCTGGCCTGCAGGGTTAAAAAAAGTAAAGAAGCAAAGAGTGCTTCCAGGGCACCATTCTCAGGATAGCTGAATCTCACATCAGTGCATTAAGCTCTTGAAAATGCCTATGGAAAGGCTTCATGAGAATAGATAGCTTGGAGCTTTAGAGCAGAGTAATCACTGTATATGGCTTACCGAAGTTAAAATCCTGGTTTGTGGTAGTTTTCTACGAGATATATCCCCAAGAATGGTAAATGGGAGCTAAAGGTGGAAAGCCCCTGTCAGTTATGTCTTGGAGGTGCTTTCAGTCTGCTCCTCTCTGCTTTCCCTGCACTGGCTGACAAAAGCACAGAATATAAGGTGTAAAGGGGTTGGGGAAGTTGGGGAAGACTGTTGCCTGACAAGGTGATGTATGTATAAATGCTGAGGAGCCTGTGAGTGTTTCAAGGGCCCTGTCCAAGCCTTCCCTATGCCTCAGGATGAAGTTCACTAATGGACACCCATAACATTAGGGAGAATGGCTTATTCTCTCACTCTCACACACACAGAGAAACTGCAATCATCACTTGCACACACACTCCAGAAATGAATTAGGTAGATGGAATCCCCCACCAAAAAAAATGCTGCCCAACTTTTCAGTTACAAAGCATGAAATGAGAAAAATGTCTGTGGTAACAGTATTTGTTGGCAAGCCATTTTATGAGGTGTGGGTGGAGTTGCTTCCCCATCAGCTTTCTAGGACAGTTAGTTGCTGACCAGGGCATTAAGGTTTTCACTCAAGATGGCACTGCTCATCTGCATGGGACTGTCAAATTACCTAATATATAGATTGTTCATAGTATCAAGTTGAATGCTTATCACTGTAGACACAGGCACCCCCCCCCCATTTGCACAGGTGTTGCATTCGTGGTTTCTGTGCATGTTGACGGAGCATGCATAAGCCTGCCCCGTTCTTTGCCACCCAACTCACATTCTGCTCTCTTCTGGGTCCAAAAGGACCTGCAGGTTGGTTATGCATCAATTGAACACGTAAAATTGTCATCACCTCTATTACTTAATGGAAAGTAGAAAATTGGTGGAATAATGAGGGATGCATAGCTGGAGGGAAACCCATTTTCTTTGTTTTAAACAAATATATTTGTCCAAAACTTATTAGAAGAATGAAAGCCTTGGAAGAATGATAGAAAGGGCATGTCTTTGGAAAGAACTTTGGAAAGAAAGTGATAGAAATGATAGAAAGGGCATGTCTTTGGAAAGAACTTTGGAAAGAAAGGCGTTTCACTTTCTCTTAACTCTTCCTTTTTTTCTTTCATAGATATTTTCCAACTTATCTTTGAACGAGCGATGTCTTTCAGCATCGTTGGTTTGTAAATATTGGCGTGACCTCTGTTTAGATTTCCAGTTTTGGAAGCAATTGGATCTCAGTAGTCGTCAGCAGGTATGAAGGAAGCTACGTTGAAATCTGAATTCTTTTAATCAAATTAAAACAATTCCTTTTCCTCTGATAAAAGTGATACCTGTTTCACTTTTCAGCCCATATTTCTTATAGAAAACATAACGAGTTTTGTGAATTCCTTCATTCACAGTGATTGGCTGTCTTAAAAGCCTGTGTTGAACCACACACATGAATATATTAAGTTGCTTTCATTGACTGAATAGATGCATATTTAGTATTATATAATGACATGACCTGAATTACATTTTTCATAATCTAAAGAAGCTTAGAGCCTGATTATCTGAAAAAGAATTACGTATCTGTTCCCAGTGCAAGGGAACAACAGTACCTTTGTTGTAGCTGTTGTGGCAGCCTTGGGCAAATCTGATGAGCAGGTGTGTTTTTTTGGGGGGGGGGGAATCAGGAGGGGCTATTGAGGTGGTATCCATTGGTCAGACATAGTGCTGAAAAAAAATCATTATTTGCAGCAAAAGGCTCCTAAAATTTAAGTTGAGCAGGAATGCATGGAGGCCAAACTTGTAGTGAAAGTACTAACTTGGTTTGGTACAAATGCTGTTGTGAATGTATAGGCTTGTTTTTTTCTTTAAAAATACAGATAAAACTGAGAATATGAATGTTACCTATTCAAATTGTTTTTGACAGGTCACCGATGAGTTACTGGAAAGAATTGCATCAAGAAGCCAGAATATAACTGAAATCAATATTTCAGATTGCCGTAACGTATCGGATACAGGAGTATGTATATTAGCATCTAAATGTCCTGGACTTCTAAGATATACCGCATATAGATGTAAACAGCTGTCTGATACGTCTATAATTGCAGTGGCTTCACAGTGTCCTCAACTGCAGAAAGTACATGTGGGAAACCAGGATCGACTCACTGATGAAGGACTCAAGCAGGTGAACTTTAAATATTGGTGAAAGTATTTTTATATATATATAAAATTACATTGTTTTTGAATATTTTAAGCTGCACTTTTATGTCCACTTGGGAGTAGCCCCTACCCAAATTTGGGAACATGTCTAGGAGTATGCTGTTGTTGTCAGAACAAAATGTTTATATTTCCAGTTTACATTGACCTCAAAGGTATACATTAGATGGTTATTCATACATCATAGAATCACAGAGTTGGAAGGGACCCCAAGGATCATCTAGTCCAAACCCTTTCAATGCAGGAATATGCAGCAGTCCCATATGGGGACTGAACTTGCAACCTTGGCATTATCAGCCCCACGCTCTAACCAACTGAGCTATCAAGGCTGATATGATAGTAAAATAAAATGGTATATGATAGTAAAATAAAAGGACAAAGCAAGGGCTAAAAGAAGTTGAATTTTCTGTTCTAGGAATCATGGAAGGTACCATGAGGGTCATCTAATCCAACCCCCTACAATGCAGGAATCTCAGCACATGGAAGAACATTTTTAAAAATTGTCTGTACCCACAGTTCTTTAGCTGTGTATCCATAGCTCTTACTGAATACAACCAATGAGCCATAACTAGCTCTAATTGTGCTATGTGCAAACCCCAGTTTTAGAACCCAGAAAACAGTTTTTTGGGGCTTTTTGTCTAGAATAGTGCATGCAAGCTCCATTTTGGGTGTTTTCTGAGCCACTCAAACCTCTGCTGCTGCAGCCACTATTAAATTTCCAGACTGCTAGTGACATTATATGTTTATTAGAGACCTGCAAATTTTGCAGGCCATTTTGAATCTAAATGTGAAATTCTTAGCCCTACCACACTGTTTTGAGCTATTTTCAGTGGATTATGGTCTTTTTTTGGTGGGTGGGGTATCCTACAATATTATACCCTGCCTTTTAGTCATTACTTCCTTGTACCCCCTGTGAAGCTTTTACCTGTTCTAAACAAATTTCCCCCTCTCGTCAGAATTACTGTGCTTAACATGTCTGAACTTGGCATAACATAGCATCTTAGTGGGTACTTTAGGGTATTTTGTTCCCAATGGGCAAGAACATTTCCTGAGCAGCGTTCTTGAGGAACAGATTACTTTAGCCAGTTTCCCCTCCCTCCTGCAGCCCCCTTGTGCCATCTGAACAACTGCTTTAGAAAGTTGAGGGAGCATCCAGAAGAGTGTAGGAGGTGGTGCTGGTTAAATCACTCAGGTAGATCAAAAGTGTTCCATGGACAGAAGGATCTATTCCATGCATGGAGGGTGAAGTTTGGATCCAAGTGAAAAGTTTTATCCTGCCCACCTACTATTTTTTTAAACCTACCAATTAGAAGAAGAAGAAGAAGAAGAAGAAGAAGATACATTCTTAAGTGATGGCTGAATATTTTCCATGTACTTTGCAAATAGTCACAGATTCTGTTCTGGTGAACCAGAGTATATTAGAAAGAACTATACTATGGTGGAACCTTGGTTTTCAAACTTAATCCGTTCTGCAAGACTGTTCAGCTTTTGAAAAGTTTGGAAACGGAGGATCAATGGGGTGGCTGCAAAGTCAATGGGAAAAAATGACAAATGCGACTCAGAAGCCGTTCGGTTTCCGAATATCGTTCGAAAACTAAAGCAGTTACTTCTGGGTTTTCAGCATTCAGGAGCCGAAACGTTCCAAAACGGAGGAGTTCGGGAACCAAGGTTTGACTGTATTTAGCCTTCTTTGTCAAACTGTCACTACTGTTAAAAACAAAGTTGCATTTGCTAGTAATAGTATCCTTGAAATCTAACTGTAAGCCTTTTCTTTTTTCTTGACAACTACAGTAACTTTTTAAGTTAGAGACATCTTTACAACTTTTCAGCTTCTACAGGCAAGACTGTTTTATTGATTTGGGTGGTGATAATGGGAACTCTGAGCTTCTGGTGTGCACAATACAATTTGTTTCTGGTTATTGATACGTGTTGGATATGGCTAAATCTATTACACCTGTTCTCTTACTTGGACTGCTGAAATCTATACTGTCATTCAATTTCCTATTTTGAGAGCAATGTGGCCTCTTGGCTAATGTGTTAGTTAAAATCTGAACTAATTGTTTAGCAATGTAATGCTTGTATATACACCATAGATTGAAGGCAATGTTAGTGTTATATATTTATGTGTGTGTTAATTTCTTTTGCAGCTCGGATCAGAGTGCAGAGAGCTGAAAGATATTCATTTTGGGCAGTGTTACAAGATCTCAGATGAAGGAATGATAATCATAGCTAAAGGATGCCTGAAGTTACAGAGAATATACATGCAGGAAAACAAATTAGTAAGTATTTTCTCTCGTGTATTTAAATTAAAAATGCCTACACCCTCTTTTATACTCACCCACATCCAACATTTTAACTGTGTATCTTAACTGAGTTTTGAAGGGTTAGAAACCTATGTCCATATTCTGAGTGTGTTAACCTACAATACACATAGTGGTTAAAAAGCTATTTCTTAGAATTCAGTTCATATTGGTTAATACTTTTGTTTGGGCTAACATGCCACACTTAATTGTGGAATTGGCTTTGCCTTGTGTGTTTCAGTAGTTGATAGAAAATTAATAATGCTAGCTAAGCATTTCTATTCTGTTGGATGCAAAATATTCTCTGAAGATCTTTGTACACTTTTGCAGTGCCATGTTTAAACTTTACACGGGCTTAGCTTATAAACATGTATGTTTACGTGTGAAGAACCTGCTTTATATGACTACAAGGTGTCATGTTGGCTACCAGATTTGATGGGTTAAAATAAATACCGTATTTTTCATCCCATAGGACGCACCGGCCCATAGGACGCACCTAGTTTTTTTGGGGGGAAATAAAGGAAAATTTCCCCCCTTTATTTCCCCCCAAAACCAGGTCGGGGAATCCAAACCAGTTCGGGGAACAGCGGGATGGCGGCGCTGCGCCTCCCCGCTGTCCCCCGAGCTTGTGGGGCTGCCTGATGTCTGTCCGAAGCGCGGGGCGCTCTGCTTCAGCGCTCCCCGCGCTCCGTGCAGCAGGCTGCAGATGTCTTCCCGAAGCGCCGGGCGCTCTGCTTCCAGCGCACTGCGCACTCTGGGAAGCAGGCTGCTATCCGCAGCCTAGGAGCCCTGCGGGAACTCCCGTTGGCTCCCCAGGCTTGCTGATAGCTTCCTGTAGCCTGGCGAGCGCGGGGGTGTCGGTGCGCACCGACCCCTCTCGCTCTCCAAGCTTCAGCGAAAGCCTGCATTCACCCCATAGGACGCACACAGATTTCCCCTTCATTTTTGGAGGGGAAAAAGTGCGTCCTATAGGGCGAAAAATACGGTAGTCTGATTCATGGTGGAATCTACATTAAGAGCAAAATGGAACTTCTGCGTAGAATGGCAATATTTTTGTGGATACTACATGCTGGGTACAAACAGATGGCTGTCACAACTGTACCCTGTTAATGAACTCCTTCTAACTTATATCAGTGTATATATATATCCTTCTAACTTCTAACAGTAGCCGTGTTCAAAACTCCCATTGTTCTAGGTGCATTTTGTGACAGGGAATTTCATTGGCGCAAGCAGTTTCTGAACTTTGTGGCTCATTTCTTCTTCAAAGAAACAACTAAGCTTTCTAAGAAAATCTCAGTATATTCAGATACCAACTCAAAAGCAGAGCTTTAAACAGTGACTTCTGGCATCTCCAGGTGGTTCTGGAAAAGATCCCTTTTGTAAACTCTGAACAGCCACTGTCAATTAATGTAACAACACTAAGCTAGATGGCTTGTTGGAAATCACGAACCGTAGTTCTCATTTTGCACATAACGAGAAGCTATGATTTACTGTGACTTACTGGTTTGTTTCTCCAAACAATGAAGGGAAGAGTAAAGGAGACTTGGTCATTCTAAAGGATTCAGATGATAAAAGTTCAAGTACAAAAAATGCCCCCTCATGCTCAAGAACTTGGAGGGTCCCAGTTGAGAGTCTCCATAACTTAAAGAAGTGGTAGCTAAAGTTTTTAGAGCTGTGTGGCATTCAGAGCAACCCTGTTTGTATCTGTGATTTTGATATATTGAGCACCGTATTCAACTTTCTCCAGATAAAGGAGGGTCAAAAAGTGGTGTCTTGGGGCACAAAAATATAAGACTGTGATAATTTTCAGATAAAAATGGAAATATAGTACCAGTTAATGGGCTTCTGATTGAACAGTTACATTTTGTTTTCTATTTAATTTATATTATGTGACAAGGACTCAGTTTTAATTGCAAAGCTGGACTTGGAAGCCACCAGAAAATATGCTGCTTCTCTATGAGCAGCATGAGAGCCTATAAAGGCACCACATCTGGTGACTCAAAGCAGACGTTTAGCATTTTCCTGCTAGTAGGTCAGCAACGAAGACTCATTGGACACATACCATGTTTTGTTTGTGCTGGGTGTAGTGTGGTAAAGAGACTGCACATTTTGTGGCACCCCCCAAATAATAATTCTGCAGTCAAATTCTATATGCATAACAACAAACCATGGTTAGTTATGAGAATGAGCTCTGTAAGCTTCCTTTGTTACAGTGAGCTTTCGCTTTTGGATATATTGCCAGTAGGAAATTGTAGTTTAGTTAACAAAACATGATTTGATGTTCTGGTTTTGCTAATCCACAGGATAAAGCAGAGATTGACATCCAACACTGTCAGCCTGCTTCCTCAGTGTGGTTTCTCCCTCCTTCCCATTGCAGCCCCCATGCATGCCCCAAAATCTCTTCCAGAGCCTGGACTGGATATCATTGGATATCACTGAAATTTCCCCCCAGTTTGGAGCATAATAAAGAAACTGCAGTTTATTTAAAAGGGGAGCTTTCAATCTCTTCTGGTGTGTATGTGCATGAGAAAGCACCCAAGACATAACAGCAAATCATAATTTACTGCATGTGAAGACCACCACTGAGTAAATTTAGTTAAATTGCTGCTTCTATACAAATATATATCCTTGTTTTGAGAATGAGCGTAGGGACCAAGTACATGCCTGGTTCAGATCTTGCTTCACCCGCAATTTCACCAGCCTGTAGAATGGGGATTGGGAATCTGTGGTCTTTTGGCTGTTGTTGTCCAAATCCCATCAGCTCCAGTGACCAAGGATGATGGGAGTTGCAATCAAGAGCATCTGGAGGGCCACAGGTTGTTATCCTTGCTTTAGAAAGTAAGCTTCTCTCGTAGGTTCACCACCTCTTCCCTTATGCAGTATGGAAATATATCAGCCTAGCTTTGATGATTGATGTAAAGATTAGAGAGAACTCATTGCCATTCTTGTATTCTACTGTGCACATAGTGACCCTTTTTTGCCTTTGGTCATTCACTGTACTGGCTTTCTGCTTCTCCCTGGCACCGCTG